TGATGTTGATATTGGCATTATAGATATTGATATTAGTATTAATATTGATTGATTGGTTGGTTGATATTGATATTGGCGTTAATATTGATTAATTGATTGATTGGTTGATATTGGTATTGACTAATTGATATTTATAATGAATTTATATAGATACGAATTTAACAGGAAACCAGGCAACAATTGATCATTGCAGAGGGCAGCGTGCGTGTGTGAAGGGAAATCAAGTGGGTGCGTCGCAATATTATATTATTGTATTATATATATTATATAATATACCTACACATAAGCTCACACAAGCAAAGTTTGGAGGATGGCGAAAGTAAATGGACAAAGCGCTCACGTGAAAATGAAGTGGCAGGCCATCTATTGAGGCATGCATTGCACGCCTGACATTGGGGCCGTGTTTATCTATTTTGTATATTAATATTTATATTTTTAATTAATTTGAAAAAAAAGTAAGAAGGCAAAGATATAAATAAATGAAAACGGTATAAACACTAATTTAGCAATAAAATAAATAAAGAATATACAAGGTTGGTAGCCGGAGTAAGCAAAAAAACTAACATACCCACCCCCATTCACGAATACCAATTGAATGGGGATACTACTAAGGCCTTGGTTGCGGAGGATTCCGGATTGTACTTAGTTTTGGGTCAGTTCAATGTCCTCCAAAAACCCTTCCTAAACTGGACGTATGGCCCGACCCGGCTGACAAAAATTCCGGGAGCGGCCTTAACCTTTGACACTGTCATACACAACCTCCTAGGGGGGAACTACCAGCCGGCGTAAAAACCAACAAACACAGGTAATGCTGTGATTTGGCGGGATACGCAGGAGAACGGAAAGGGGGTAAAATAACCTCGGGAGATTAGTGGATGACAATATATCTGGGGCCTGCCATACGTTCCCATACTCATACTCATATGCAGTGTATACGAGGTAGAACTCAACCGAAGGAATATGAATGAAAACGTTAAGAAACTGTACAGAAATTATTTTGGTTTTAAAATTACGTATCAAGGAAAGGATTGGGTACCCGAAATAATATGCAGCCCTTGTTATAGTTAAGTTAAAGTGCCTGCAATATGGAAAAAACCAATGTTACGAGAAAATTGTTACTTTTGCATGACTGATCTGATGGGAAATCTACCGACGAAAGTTACAATGCTGCTGCGGAAGTAGCCAATATTCCCGAAAATTAAATGGGAACGGATGAAAATAAAGAGTCGGACAAAGAGCGTGAAAACAGCAATGACTCAGAAAGTAGTGATGAGTCTGAGAACACCAATAAGGCGAGAGTACCAGTGAATCCAGTAACTATGTTCTATATTTTTTTTACATTTTACATCAACCACTCGTCGAATCTTCAAATTGGGTCTCGTAAAACAATGGGTTAAAGCTTTGGACAAAACGGTGATTGTTTCCAATACTTGCAAGGAAAGTTTCTCAATGTTTCGTACGAAAAAGTAAACGAAGGAATACTCGATGGACCCCAAATCCCGACAATGTTAGGAGATGAAGAGTTTCTTACTTAAATGATTGTTACAGAGAAAATCGTATGTCGCTCAGTTTTGTGTCGTGGATAACTTTTTAGGAAATAAAAGTCGAAAATACAAGGAAATAGTGTCAAAAATGGCTGCTTGATGAATCTTAAATTACATTTTCTGGATTCTCATATTGATTACTTCCCTGAGAAGCTTGGTGACTAGTGAAGAGCAAGGGGAACGGTTCCACCAGGATATTAAAGAAATGGAACGTAGATATCAAGGTATGTGGAATGTGAGTATGCTGGCCGACTATTGTTGGACTCTCAAACGGGGCATAAGAAAAAGAGGACAAAAAAAAGACTTCAACGGAAACTGTTGCATAGATAGAAATAAAAGATTTTGGTATTCTAGAAATACATAATACTTGTATGTGTATTTTTCACGAAAAATCATCGAATGTAACCACAAAATAAATGAAAATGAAAAATATGATTGTTTTTTACCAATTTTTTACAAATTTTGCGGTTTTTTGAGGTTAAAAAAAAAGAGCGAAACGGCTAAATACGATAGCAGATTCGGATTCAGCGAGGGACAATGCATATAGTCATACTACTCAGATCCGCTGGACCGACCACTTTGTTTTGTGTGCCTGTTTTATTTATGTAATAAGGCTGAGAAGTAAGTATGTTTGTGCTGAGCTTAAATTTGAATGGCGAATCGTATCAGAGGCCTACAATTAAGCGAAGCACAAAAATAAACTTCTCAGTCGCATGGCATACAACATTTTATCTTTAAGGCATAATTTTCTTTGCTAAACAATAAATACACCGTACAATTATAATGAAACTATTAAAAAAATAAAAAGAAAGTAATGTAATTTTAATCCAGAAATATATTTTTTAATATCAAATCAGTACAAGGCCAGAAGTGATTCTTTTTGTGCTGAGGAAAGCACACAAAGACTTCTTGACCAAATTATTTTGAAGGACGACGTGTAGCGTAGGCATTAAATTAGGAGAGGCACAAAAAACACTTTTTAGCCGAATGATATATATAATACAATGTCTAATCTTCAAGGCACAATTTTATATGTTAAACTATAGTAATTGTACTTAAAACGTATAATCATTAAAAGTATAAAGTGAAGTTAGATACATCTAACAGAAGTGGAATTTTTTTATTGGTACAATGTAATAAATAATCATATTTTACGGCTAGGCAATAATCATCAACCTAACCCGATTACTCTAAATTATTTTTAAGTCTAGCCTATAATCAATTACATTACTACAACAACTTGACAACAATAAAGTTTAAATTGAAGACCGATTGATGATTAAATATATTATGTGAAAGTTTTAGCGATTTAAAGTAAAATTGTTAGTGATTTATAGAAAAATGGTCATAAAAATACACCGCTTTCAAGCTATAACCTTTTATCAAATCAAAGAGCTATAGAGTGTTCATAAAGGTATGGTTACGAAGCTCGGAGTAGTACACTCCAAACCATTGAATCCCAAAGTGTTCTCTATTGACCCCCAAGTATCGACTCCGAACTGCAAAGGGTCAGCGAAAACAAAAATTTGGGTTCCCTAACATATAAATGAGGTTTTACGACCATGGATCCCATTTAAGCTATAGTCGGGACCAAATTGTTTGCTTTTCATAAATGATATAATCCACATTACAAAGATAGTAGGACCTACTACTAAGTAGGTATATATGTACTTACATAATACTTTTTTATAATAGACATAACATATTTTTAAAACATGTGTTTATAATGTTTATAAAACGTAATGAAGATATGAAGCCAGATTCGCGGAACTTCATGACTTCTTTGGAATCGATGATGGGATGACAATCATTTTCAGTCGCGAGTCAACTTCATTGCTTTCACTTTTAATTTAAGCTCATTGTTAGACTATTCTCATGAGTTTAATAAACGTATTTAGATTTACTCTACAGTTAAACCTATAAAAGTAAGTAGCACTGTATATTATACAGTGTATAAGCTGTCTTAAACAATTGAAAGTTGATAAATTTGTAAAAAAGCAATATTAGAAAGGTATATCCAAAGCAGAAAAAATGTGCACATGGTGGAGCCTAATTCATTTATCAAAATCAATGAAAACTAATAGTCGGTTTCGTTTGCACAACATATTATATAATAAGATTCATTCTTAGTTATTTTTTCTACTTTAACCTTTAAAACGCCACTTATCCATGACAGTAAGTAATCTTTACACTAATACATACAAACGTCACGGGCTGAAGTTGTAAAATAATACTAAAATCATGCATTATCTCATTACAAATACAAGTATTAAATATTTAAAAAGTTTATATGCACGTTTGTACTGACCTTTTGATTGTGTGGCCGGCGATAAACTAACTGATAAAGTATTAAAAATTTCGGGTGAAACTTCCTCGTGAAGGGCCCATAAAACATTCTCTTCACTTTCACTGTGAAAAAATGCTTCTATATCGGATTTAAACGGTTGTTAGTCCATAAATGTCGATTTACACAGAAAAATTTAATATTTGACCGCCGGTAATACAGATTCCCATTCTTACGCGAATCATCTTTAGAAAATATTAAGTATTTTTGTAAAAAAAAGTATAGTATACAACTCGTTTACTTATAAACTTTTTTAGACACTTATATAATAAAATACTCGCTGGCAAGCTTACTCGTGCCTTATTTAAATTCGTGACTAAAATGGCGTTTATCAAACTTGATACATAATATACTATTAATACATGTTAGTTAATATTGTATAAATTACGAACCTACTATGTTTTTATACAGTATTCTAAAAATATAAGTCAAGCATTGTAAGGAATCAGGTATTATTAATTTATTTTTGTTTCAGGTAAGGACTTCAATGAGCAAGTGATTTTATCTTTGAAACACTATGGATAATGTTTTGTAAGGAAAAATACTCTTTTATTGGATGTGTGTTTTGCAATTTTATTATTATACAAAACTTAATAAAAAATTTAAGTAAAACTAAATCATCAGGGTATTAAAAATATATTAATTAACTTGAAAATATCTTGGCCATAAATTCCCAACTTACGTGTTAAAATTTTAATCTTGAAGAAAATATTGACTATAACTTTTTTAATAAAAAATCTTTATGGTTTCTGGACATGGAATTATACAAAATTAAATTGTTTATTAGTCCTAAAGTCAAGTAAATTTATAAGTATTTTTATTATATTCTAAACGGGTTATTAAAAGTGAGATTTTTATTAAAATCCTATTTAATAAATATTTTGCCCTTTTCAATTTAATTTTGGGTATATATTGTAAATAATTATTATTATAATAAGTGAAATAATTAAAATTTGAAATTAATATAAAAGGGAAGTAGTGAATCGGAAAACCAAGCAGAAGCCATTTGATATTTCATTGAATCAGAAATTCCATATCTGTTGTGATTAAAAAAGGGCAGTCGATTGTAACGAACATTATGAATGTTTCATTGGGGAATTAAACTATTAAATATGCTTATAGCATTCCACAGTTCGGTGGAAGTTGAAAGCCTGGAAAGAGGAGGAGCAGGCATTGGATATTTGGGTGTGCGCAGTTTAGCCAGCATTAAATGTGTAAATTATTAATGGTTTGTAGCTTAGGTAGATAACAGTCATACATGACTCCCCGGCGGCCCATTTTAATTGGATTATACGACTGTCCCTGCCCAGCATAGTTTACTTGCGGGCCTTCCTGCAAACTTCCAAACGAAATATTACAACAATCACTTGTTATTACTATAAGTTATGCGGGACGATCCTTTTGCCTTTTTGAAATATCATATCTCCATTCAAATACATGTTTTTGTATTAATGCTTTCAACGCGAATGTTTACACTATTAATATATTATTTGTTTATTTTTTTACTTTTTTTAAGATGTAACGACAATTCATATAAAATACATGTATTTCTAAGCATTCCAATAGGTAATTTAATAAAATTTTCCCAATATAGAATTGCGTGTCCTTTTCTACTATATAACGTTATACAGATAAGTTCCAATGAATGGCCATTATCACTTTATCACCTCTAGTTTTATCTTATAAAGAAATATATTAGTGAAAAAAAAATAATTTATGATGTATTATTAAACTCCACATGTGTAATTTAAGAGAACAATTCTGTTTTATAATAAAACTTTTCGTTCTTTTTTATGAGAACTATTATTAGTCCAGGAAACAAAGGTTGTAGAAGGAAAAATCGATGGTAGTCGGGCTTTATTTTTTTTATGTAGAGTCAGGGGTGCTGATAATGAATCAAGAATATTCCCCAAAAATTTCTTTCCGCGTGCCCTAATTTCATCTCCCGAAAGGGGAGTTTTTTTGCTGTTGGCTCATAACTCGCTAACCGTGCATTTTTTCAGAATTTGACCTCTAATAGTTTGATTATGTACTAAATAAGGCACACGTTAAACCCCGTGTTTTTTTTATTATAGCCCAATTTTAAAAGTAATCGATCACAAACCTTACGGTAATCAAACATAACCCAATTGATGATTTTTTGAGGTACTAGACTTTTTTCAAAAGTTACTGCTTTTCAATGAACAGGGGGTTCATTTTCAAAAAAACCATTTTTTATTTCCCAAACGGCTTTAATGAGCCAGTTTGTTCTACCTAGATTTTTAGGTACACTTATCCTTGTTGCGAATCCGTGTTTTTTTTTTAATTATTTTCATTGCAAGTGCCTTACAAAAATTAAAGTTTTGGAAAAAGAACCCCCTGTACATTGAAAAGCAGTAACTTTTAGAAAAAAGTCTAGTACCTCAAAAAATCGTCCATTCGGTTATGTTTGATTACCGTAAGGTTTGGGTTTAAAATTGGGCTATAATAAAAAAACAAAAAAGTGATTTTGAAAGCATCGCTCAACTTTGCACACTGCGCATAGCAAAAGGGCACATCATATAGGTGCGCAATGTGTGCCTTATTTAGTACATAATCAAAAGTATTAGAGGTCAAATTTTGAAAAAATGCACGGTTAGCGAGTTATGAGACAAAAAGCAAAAAAACTCCCATTTCGGGGGATAAAATTAGGGGACGCGGAAAGAAATTTTTGGGGAATATTCTTTATTCATTATCAGCACCCGACTACCATGGAGTTTTCCTTCTACAATCTTTGTTTCCTGCAGGACTATATATAATAATTTATATTTAAAAATTTAGGCTTTAATAGAACTCTAAAAAATTAATCATTTCACAGAAAAAAATGTTTATATAAAGTCCTGCGCTTTTAATGTTCATTATTTTTAGTATTTTTATTGGCATATTGTAAAAATGGAAACTTTCAAATTCTTTTCGACTTTTCTATTTAAAGACAATTCGTTAAAAAAATTAAATAGTCACTAAAAAATATATTTAATGCAAATCTTGAATTATATTTTAATTTTTAAACATGAGGTCTGGGTTATTTTTTTTAAGTTATTAAAAAAAAATGGTCGTACAGTTTTAGGGCATTACACTTTACATTACATATTACACTAACAAATAATTCCTTTTATAAGTGTATAAATTGAGTAGGCTACAAGTATGGTCTTAATTTCATAATTCGTGATAATCTTGGCAACAACATGCACATTACACCGGATCTCTTGCTTCTTTGGAGAGGTTTGCGTTAGGCGACGTCCTTCTCTGCACATCATTACCGCTGCTGATCCTGCTTTCTCCTGCTTGCACTTCTGCGGTGTAGTGTACCATCGTGTTATCGTTATCGGTGCTTCGTTAATTATTTTTACTCGTTACGTTTTAGTTCCTCTTGTATCATTAGTAAATTCAAAATATGTTACCTAATAGGGCAACACTCGCGCGCTACCATCTAAAATTTAATTTATGACTGTTTATGCATGTTGCATAGCTTTCGAATGCGAATTAGGTATTCATTAAAAATTTTATTAGTCATTTGATATGTGCAATGAAAACTACATTTTTGCTCAACGGGATTAATGGCAGCTTAAGTAACTTAATTGTCTTTTTAATAGCTTTGATATAAAGTTAATGAATACGATGCATAATACCATTTTTGTCATTACATAATCGTAAAAAATACAAGGTGTGGGGAAACTTAATAAAATACCATACATATACAAAATATACTAATATGTCTCTTATGTGTATAAAAGTTTCTAAGATTTACCAGTCTCTGGAAACAAGGCCAAAAATTTAAAAACATAAATAAACTTTAGTTCTAATAAATTTTCATCGTTGTAGGTATATCCACATATAAAGCAAATACAAAAAATGGTTGTTTCACAATGAAAATATTCTTCAAATATTGTACAATGAAAAAAAAGAAGATAATGAATTTCAGTCATTTATTACATGCAGATCACATATTTGGAAGAACATTTGACTATTATTAAATATTTTGTATTGAAAGAAATAAGGCTGAAATTATTGAAATGGGAGAAATGAAATTTGTTAAATTTGTCAGATTAGATTTAGTATACGACTAGGATGATTTTGGAATGTATTTTGGATTTGGATTGTATTAACATTAGTATACTAAGTATACGTGTATTTGATTCGATTTTGAACTCTCATTATTACCACACTGGTTGTTCAATATGGGTGACGTTCATAATATCGAAATTCACTTTATCGAATTCAAAATATCGAACACTTTTTATCGAAAATCAAAATATCGAAAATACAAAATGTCGAAAATCAAAATATCGAAAATTAAAATGTCGAAAATGATAATATCGAAATTTTATTTAATCGAATTTTCAATTTATCGAAAATAAAATATCGACGTTCATAATATCGAAATTCACTTTATCGAATTCAAAATATCGAACACTTTTTATCGAAAATCAAAATATCGAAAATACAAAATGTCGAAAATTAAAATGTCGAAAATGATAATATCGAAATTTTATTTAATCGAATTTTAATGTGAAACTAAACCATATTTTTTTATTTTGAATTTGATATTTTGTTTAAATATTTCAATTAATCGACATATTATTTTAATCCGAAGTGTATATGTATAGAGGCGCCTCTGATATAGAAATGTACTCAAACTCAACAACACAACCCAACCGACCCCGCCCCATTGGCCCCCCCCCGCCCCATTGAGCAAAAAACCCAACTAAAATGGGCTAATTTATGTAATTAAAAAGTGTTTTATTTTTATCGTAACATGAATTTGCCCATTTTAGTTGGGTTTTTTGCTCAATGGGGCGGGGGGGGGTTCAATGGGGCGGGGTCGGTTGGGTTGTGTTGTTGAGTTTGAGTACATTTCTATAAAACGCGCATCTCTAGGAGCCAGGGAGCCAAGATAATTCGGTGCATAACCGTAACTTTATCTACAGAGGCGCCTCTGTACATATACACTAGGGTGGAGTGAATTTTTTTAAATTTATCAATTGATTTTTCCTATATTATTAATTGTTGACTAAAGGCGTAAAATGAATAAATATCGAAAAAATATTCCAATTTTTTAATATCTTGAGGTGGCGCATCTGTCTCGAAGTTTTGAAAATTCTAAAAAAATATTACTTTAATCAAAGTAATAAAAATAGCATTATTTATAAATAAAGAGTTTATTTTAGTAAAATTAACGTGAAACGTAAACATATTTAATAGTAAATCATATGCTTTAAGTAACTTCAGGAGTGTTTATTGGTAGAAATGAGATCTTCTTTTTCGCGAAAATACTGACATTTGGTATCGAAATTTGGTAATTATTTTCTGACTTTAATTCTTGTTCTGATGAAACCATTTCTTGCTTCCGATCCACAAACCGAGACTGAAGATTCAGTGTACTGGTTATAACCAGTTTTACACAGCGTTCCACTGCTTGGGTGTGACACTGAAATTTTTGGAAGTATAGGAAATGGTCACCCGAAGAAATCATATCGGTAATTTCTGTCATCGTATTTCATAGTCATAGGTGGTTCAGTCACCTTTTCTGTCGCCCAGTGAATTAACTGGTACAAACGTAATGCTTCAGTATTTAGTTGTGGAAGCTTTAATTCCCGTAATCTCGAACATTTTGATTCTTTTCTCGCCTTTAATATTTTCGGCAATGCTAGTTCTCTGATCGATAGATATATTGTAGGTAACATAGCAAGTAATAGGTTTTCGGGATAAATATTTCGCTGAATATTCTTTATAACTATAGTTATAAGGCCTTCAAGTTTTTCTGGAGATGTAATGCTCTTTTAGTCATATTAAATATGTGAATAGGACCATGTTTGCACGTAGGCTTGGTGTTGATGTAAAACCACGTTGGGGCATACACTTTCATGATAAAAGTAGCCAATTCTTTTAGGTTTTCCGATGGATTTGCTGTCCCCCCATATAAACGAATAATCCTATTAGCCCACGTCAGCCATAGGGAATGTGCTAGCTTGCCTGGATCTTTATAAGCTATAGCTAATATTTATCCCGAAAACCTATTACTAGCTATGTTACCTACAATATATCTATCAATCAGAGAACTAGCATTGCCGAAAATATTAAAGGCGAGAAAAGAATCAAAATATTCGAGATTACGGGAATTAAAGCTTCCACAACTAAATACTGAAGCATTACGTTTGTACGAGTTA